AAACCCCACGAGTTCGGGGACCTCGGGGACTGGGGTCGTCGTATCCCTGCTATCCCTGTGGCTGACACCATTCCGCCCAGCCGCAGCAGAGTAGAGACATCCAGGGCGTTCGGTAGGCTATGTTGGACCTGGAGTCGCTGGGTGCTTTTCTTCCACGCTCGCGAGGGTGGAAGAGAATGTGGAGGAGGAGGAGGAGGAGGAGGAGGAGGAGGAGGAGGACGTGGAGGAGGAGGAGGGAGGAGGAGGAGGAGGAAGGATGACGACGGAGGAGGAGGAGGACGAGAGGAGGAGGAGGAGGAGGAGCAGGAGGGTGAGGAGAAGCAGGAGGAGGAGGAGGAGGGAGGAGGAGGAGGAGGAGAAGCAGGAGGAGGAGGAGAAGCAGGAGGAGGAGGAGGAGAAGCAGGAGGAGGAGGAGGACGACGACGATGAGCCTGTCACCCAGTCTTCTGGCACAGGCTGCCGCAAGGCTCCCCGCCGCCCCGCTCGGCCATGGGCCCCGCCGCCTCGGCCTCGCCCGCAGGCGCCCCGCGCCTCTCTGGCGCGTCGGCCGCGCCGCCGCCGAGGAGGTGCCGGGCGGGGCTACGGACTGCGATGCGTCGCTGCAGACGAGGAGGAGGAGGAGAAGGATGAGCAGAGGGAGGAGGAGGAGGAGGAGGAGGAGCAGGAGCAGGAGGAGGAGGAGGAGGAGGAGGAGGAGGAGCAGGAGGATGAGGAGCAGGAGGAGGGAAGGAACAGGTACGGATGCCGCTTCCCTTCCCTCGTTTTCCCTTGTCGGTCCTCTTGGGAGGCTCAGGCGATCGCAAACATGGATCAAGGGGGCGTGGATTAGCGACGGGTCCCGTTTCCATGGGAAATCTCGGATTTCCGCCGCCGAGCGAGGCGGCACTGGCCGCATTTTGGGCGGGGCACCTCCCCCGATCCACGGATTTGGTGGCCGCGCGCCAAATCCATGGATCGCTAATCCATGTTTGCGCGCCCCCGAGAGCCCTCGTCGCCACCCCCGAATTCCGGTCAGGACGCACACTGGGAGAGGTGCGGGGAGTGAGGGGAGGAGGGGATGAAGTGGAGGAGGAGGAGGAGGAGGAGGAGGAGGAGGAGGAGGACGAGAAGGAGGAAAAGGAGGTGCTGGGCGGGGCTAGGACCGCGATTAAGGGGCAACGATCGCGGGGATGGGCTCAGGGGGGGGGACGCATCGACCCACCATCGCCCATTCATCGCCGATGGGGGCCTGACAGCCCGCCCCGCCCAGGAACGTCCGCATTTGCAACTGGGGGCTTATGTTAAAAACCCTTGTTGCGAAACCATATGCTGCTCATTCCCCATATCCTAAGATGGGGTTCTTGTTATTAGAACGAGCGTGTTCTACCGCTGCTGGCGGAAAACCAGGGGGGGGTCACTACTGGTTCGAACCCCTCCCCCCCCCCCTCCGGAAAACCGGGGGGGATCACTACCGGTTCGAATCCCTCCCCCCCCCCCCCCACGTCAATCATGAAAAGGAGGGGGTCACTGCCGGTTCGAACCCCCTCCCCCTCGAAAACCGAGGGGGGTCACTACCGGTTCGAACCCCCCCCTCCCCCTCGAAAACCGAGGGGGGGGTGCGGACAGTGGTGGGGACGGTGGTGATGGGGACAGTGGTGAGGGGACAGCGGGACAGTGGTGGGGACAGTGGGACAGTGGTGGGGACGGTTGTGGTGGGGACAGTGGTGAGGACAATGGTGGGAACAGTAGGGACAGTGGACAGTGGTGGGGACGGTGGTGGTGGGGACAGTGGTGTGGGGACAGTGGGAATGAGGTGGAAACAGTGGGACAGTGGAGGGTACAGTGGTGGGGACAGTGGTGAAGGCGGTGGCGAGGACGGCGGTGGGACAATGGGACAGAGGTACAGTGGGGACAGTGGTGCGGACAGTGGGGACAGTGGTGGGAACAGTGGGACAGCTCAGTGGGACAGCGGAGGAGTCAGTGGGACAGTGGGGACAGTGGGGATAGTCGGGCAGTGGTTGGGGCCGTGGAGAAAGTGGGGAGAGTGGAACCGTGGTGGGAACAGTGGTGGGGACAGTGGGGACAGTGCGACAGTGGTGGGACAGTGGTGGGGGGCACCGGTGGGGACAGTAGGGACGGTGGTGGAGCTGGTGAGTGGGGACAGTGGTGGTGAGGACAGTAGCGCTGGGAACAACAGTGGGGGATGTGGTGCGGACGGTGGTAGGGACCGGGAGTCGTTTGCTGGCGGTGAGTGGGGGGGGTGGGGAGGGGTTCGAACCGGTAGTGACCCCCCCTCCGGTTTTCGAAAGGGGGGGCGGGGCTCGAACCGGTAGTGACCCCCCCCGGCTTTCGAGGGGGAGGGGGGGGGGGTTAGGGGAGAGGGGGGGGGTGACATTGCTCGGGGAAGGGGGGAGGGGGGGGGAGGGGTTCCAGCAG